ATCTACTTGCTTTCTAGATTTTCTTTGTTTTGGATCTTTATTAGCACGTTCTGGTGAAGTATTGTGACCATTCTTTGCACTATCAGTTATTTCTTCAATATCAGGACTATCGCAACTTCCATTTTCTTCACAGATTTTTACATCAGATGTATCCATGCTACTATCAGCAATGTCACTACTGACATTAATTTGTAAATCACTACTGCCTGATGAATCTTTATTATCTTTAAGGGCAGAATTTTTCATAGTGAACACATCATCATTATCTGAATGTATTTCTGTTATGTTTTCATCAAGACATTCAACATCTGAATTATTACTTTGTTCATCAACTTCCATAGATTCACATGATGTGTTTTTACACTTATCTTCAGTCTTAGACACTTCACTAAAATTGTTTATCTCACTGACACCCTCTGAGGATTTAGACATTTTAGAGTCATTTTCTGACTCTGACATTTCACTTCTTTTACTTCTACTTTGTGCTATCCCATTCTGTTCACTATTTTCAGGTTCTAAATCCCTTTCTTCAATTTCAACTTCCATTCTATGTTTGTCCTCATCATCTTCATTTCCATTTGTCTCCCTTTTTTCTTTTACTACACTACCAATTTCTTTTGACACGAGTTTGGATATATTAGTATCCGCATCAATGAATTCTTCTTTGTCATTATAATTTCCATTAATCCCATTTGGAATCACATCTGCAAAATATAATAAAATATTTTTATACAAAATGTTAATATCTCTTTAATGTTAAATATATATCATATTTTAATATTATATGATAAATAAAGAAAACTATTAATGTTTTTTAACAACCTAATTACAGATTATTAATTAGATTACTAAAATTACTTAATGAAATGTATTTATTATTGATAATTATTAATATAAATTAAAGAATGTAATGTAATATATATTATTAAATGAGAAACATTTCTATATAATATGAATAAAGTACAGTTTTTTAATGACATCTAAATTTAATTAAATGATAATAGAATAATGTCAAGAAAAAATTAAAAATCTAATAATGTCATTATTTAACAATAATCAAAGAAAATATGAAATGAATATAAAAGTGAAAATTAAAAGAATCAGAAGAGCTGTTCTAATAATTTCAAATAGGAATAGAATATTATACCTTTAAGAATCTTATCAGGACTGGCTTGAGATGAGTCCTTAATAGGGGGTTCTTCCAGCGTGCCTTCCATGGAGCCACCACTGTGCAGTTGATCTAAACAATTAATAAGAACACAGGAATAAGCGGCTCGTGGCGACGACGCGTTTCATTACATCGACGATATGAACGCGAGGGCGGGGAAAGAGAGGGAATTTTTAGCGGGGCCGAATTTTTCAAAATGGCGCTGCGAATTCCGTACTCCTATTTCCTTGTTCCCATAACCAACAAAGTTCGTAGTATGTTACTCTCCAGTCGACGCGTTACCGAAATGCATTCACTTGGTTCGGAAAAGTTTTGGCACACACAGATTATAGAAACGATTAAAGAACAGAGAGCTACTAATGAATAAAAATGATCGAATAAGCGAAATCCTGTGAAGTAGCTTGAATGGTTAGCGTCTCTCAGTCAGTCACCTGCACTCGCTAGCCACCGCGTCCGAGCGCCAGCCAGCCAGCCAGTCAGCCCTCCACCGTACCTCTCTTCACTCAACCTTCACAACCTACCAACCTACACCTATATCTACAACTTACACATCGAACTTTCGCCTTTCCTATACATTCACATATATGTAAACATACACGCAATCATACGTACACACGCCTTAATCGCCCATAGGTGAGCGCGCGAGCGCACAACCTTCCGAACTCTATACTACATGCCGGACAACACGCCAACCACCTACAGAACAACCCTATGACCTACCGAATCTGAACATGACAGATTGATTTCCTACGACAATATAACATTTAAATGAATTTCCCTTACAAATATTCAATAGTTCACATCCATGTGACAAGAAAAACCATGACAAACAAACATTCTAATACAGACGAAAAAAGAACTAGATAAACGCATACCATTTTGTTAAATTATGTATATATATAAATATGATCCATCCGATTAGCGTTTACATCCAAAATCTTACTTGAATTTTTCCATTTATTGCTTATACTCATGTCAAACACTCCGAAACTTTGTTGAAAAAAGTTTTTTGCTTATCTAGTGTATGAAATATAATAAAATTAAGATAAACTTTCTTTTTTAATCTGTTTAAAAAACACAACACATTCTTTTAAAAAAATCACATTCTTTTAAAAGATGCTGAGTATACTTTAACCTACACGAATGCTTAACTTGATGCAACATGCTTCATCGTTGAAAATAATAGTATTATTTGGAATTCGGAAAACGCGAAAAAGAATTCGAATGATTGAAGACACAAGGAATTCCATTCAGTATGCTCGTTCGGGACATGTCTCGTGCTACTTAACTCGCTATCCACGAATCCCGGCAGATCTATGAGGTAATGGAACGCGTACTCCATCCATCTCCTGTCACCAGGCACAAATATACGCACCTGACCGCTTGCTGTCCTAAACAATTTTCTGATACCGCGACATTTTCACAACCTGCAATCTTCAGTGGCGGCGGTGGAGTTACGATTTGTCCTTATACACACGATACACGATTTATTCACAAAACCTGTAAATAGTGAACATTCATCGCTGAAAATTAGGCACCAGAGGGCAGGCGCGACGTTGGAAACGTTAAAAAGTTATGCCCAGGGCCGTCGTAAAATCATGGGCTCTTTTTTATAAAAGTTAAATAGAAATAAAATTAGAAAGAATCGCAGAATAGACAAAAGATTTAAGAATTTGTTTTATTTCAATGTTATTTTATCACTATATAACTGCTTTTTGTATGAATATGATTAATTTGAAACAAAAATTAATAATATAATATAATAAAAAGAAGGAAAAAATATTGATTTAAATACTGAGTAATTTCTTTGCCTCTATTTTAAAAATAAAATAACAAAACTATATTCTATCTATCTGTACGTTTGTTTATTTTATAAAAAAATATATTTAAAATATTTAAAATATGTAAAATAATTATGAATTATTTAAATACTTTAATAATTTAAAATATGTAGAAAAAACATTCAGTCATCTTTTATTTTAATATGTATAACATATTAAAATAGAAAAATGTATAATTATATTAATTATATTTAAATAAACAAAATTAGAAATATTAATATATAATATATATTTTATTTAATTGATTTAAAAAATTCTGCAATATTAATAATTTATATTAATTATTTAAAAAATTCTACTGTAATTTTAATACAATATTTCTCTCAGAATTCTTCATATATTGCTGATCATGCATTTAAGCAAAATAATGATGCAAGATTCAAAGAATAAATACTTTGCTTAAACATAATTTCAAAGATAACTTATTAGCGAATTTCATTATCGGATCGATAAATTAAATATGAAAATAATGACAATAAAATATATTATAAATTTCATTGAACAATTTTCGATTCGTAAATGTTATTAAAATATTTAATATAATTTAATTAAGTTACGTATGTTAATGGCAATCGATATATCATAAATGAATTATATTATTATAATGGTAATAATCTATTTATATTACAATTTATCAAAGAGATGTAAACAGCAATGCATACATTCAAAACAAATAAAACAATCTATTGAAAAAAATCTATTTAACAAAAGATAGGAATAATAGTATGGGAAATGCGCAAGGGAATTGAGAGGATTGTCACGGCCCTGGTTATATTGTGTTATTCAGTATCAAAACTATACAAATCATAAAATTCAACAAATCAATCGCAAGTCCCTTGGCGTTCTTTTACAAGTAATATTTTGTTTTTATCTACGATCAAAAGCTGAAACACTCATGTTTACTGATTCATTGAAATTTAGAAAGCTGCCGCCATCTCTTCATAAGGGCTGGCTCAACTGTCGAACAGCTGCCGTGGTGGTCGCTAGCCGATCGCGATTATCCCCACAAAGAGGACTAATAATCAAAACACACACACATCGCAAATGCCGCGCTATTTAAATTCACTGACCGTTCGTAGCACTGATAAATATTCGGCTACACATGCAACTCCTTCGACACTTGATATACACCGTTTTTATATCAGAATTATTCACATATACTTTGTGTTTATTTGGGTTCGACGTCACGGATCCTTCTTACCTTCGTCGTCGAAAACTGCCAAGATGGCGACGATAATCACGTGACCATAAATTTTATGACGTACGTGTAATGTTAAAGGGACGAAACGACCAGTAGCGTTTGTTATATATAGTCACGTGATCTGGTACACGTGCACATCCAATGAGAGGCTCTCTCAAGAATAAGGACAATCTGCAATTGCAACAATGTATAGTAATAGGGTTGACTAACAAGTCCCCGCCCTTTTCTGTAGATTTCTTCATGAAACACCCCTGATACGAGTAAGAATATTTAAAATTATTTATCATTTTATAATTTAGTTATATAAATATATTGGTGTGTGTGCGGGTTGATTAATATTTATTTATATTTAATATATAATATATATATATATATATATATATATATATATATATATATATATATATATATATATATATGTATCAAAATAACGTGATTTTTTTTGTAATAAATTTTTTTGTTTGTAATTATTTTTTATAATATTAGAAAAAATCATTTAATTTACATATATAATTAAATATATAATTTTAATTCTTTTATAGATATTTTTATTCATCAAAAATTTTTTATATTTATAAAATTGATTATATTTAATTTGTTAATATTATTATTTATATTTTAAATATAAATTTTTGTTGAATACATAAATGTATTTTAAGTAATTTTGTTGTAAACAATATTTATATTATGTTACATTAATCATTATATATTATAAAATCTATAATATATATTATTATATTAAAAATATATTTGAAATATTTTTTAGAATATATATAATAAGCTTCATCTTATGTTTTATATATAATTAATTTAATTATAAAAATATTTAATATACATAAACATTATAAATTATCATCATCATTTTCATTGAAAGATAATATAAGTTTTTCTTGTTTTGTTTTCTTTATTTTCTTTTTTACTGGTTTATCTGTTGTTTCTAATTCTGCTTCTGTTATTTTGTTTTTTCTAAATATAATTCTTTTAGATAAATCTGCAGGAGCATTAGCCTCTTCTACAATGTAATATTAATATATAATTTATCTTTTATTATTTAATATTACAAGTGAAAGTTATGAAATTTATACCTTGTTCTTTTTTTTTCTTATATGCTTCTGCTTGTTTTGCAGTTAAATGTTCAGAATTTAATACAACTACAACAGGTTTCTCTTCTTCACGTTCTTCTTCATCATTATCTGAATCTTGTGGTAATATTTCTCTCTGTTTTAAGACATCATTTAAATGATTGTTTATGCTGATTATAAACAAGCACTTATTATAATATATTTAATGATTTATTTAATAATAAATATTTTTAATTATAATACATAATTATTAATACATAATTATATTATAGTTAATAATTTTAGAATTGAATAATCATTAATGTGTAATGAATAATAATAAAATATAATACCTTTGTATCAATTGTAGGTCCTTCCTTATATCCGATTTGTTCTTTTAATTCACGTAAAAATTTTGGTTCATTCGGTTTAACATATGAAACATTATGTTTTTTTCTAGACATTATATTGTCTTCCTGTTAATATTTGAAAATATAACCTAACTTAAGGATATCGTTAAATAGTATTACATATAGGCATAAACGCATATTCTATATAGATTGGAAAGTAAGATTTGTCTAGTAAAATTTACTAGTACATTAATCTTGTTTGGTTGGTAAGAAGGGAAAAATAGGAATTTTTACGCAAATTGATTTTAATCATAAGTGAATATTTATTAAGTAAATTATTATTAAGTAAGAAAATATTTTTAAAAAATGAAAATTTTGACCTAATTTAAAATATATTTAATATTATGTAATATTTAAAAATCGAAAAATTCAAATATGTTTATTTTAGGATTATATAGGTCTATAATTTCATGGAATTATAGAATAATATCAAATTCGAAATAATATGCTTTGATAATTTATTAATTTCGTGATAACGATAATAATACTATTAACGTTCTTCACAGTTTACAACTGTTTTTAACCAATCATATAATCAACTATCCATAAAAATTTAAAAAAGATTTAAAAAGCGCCATGAACATTTATATATCCTTTATCATATTGTCCGGAAATATTAGTAAAAAACCATTCGTTGGTCAAATGATAATTTAGTTAACCAAAATCATAACGAATCGTATATGTCCCAAAAAGTTTCAAAAACGATGGTCCTTTATCGTTCAACGAGAATATAATAATGTCACGATATAAAGCTGAATATAAAGATTTAAATGCGAACAAGTTCTATATACGATACACGTTATATACGTCGTCGTCATCCAGAACTTGATACATATAATAATTATACGAGTATCTTTATTAGAATACAATTTTCAATGAAAAGAATAATTTACAGACGCGTCATTTCAGAATTATTTAGTGCCCTTAATTTCCCATCCGAATGGCTAGATCGACGATGTCGAATTTGAGTGTGCGTACTAATAATATATCCACCTTCCTCTTGTCGATTGTGTTTCTCCACTTGAATAACCGGCATACATCGTGGAGCTGGCCCATCTAAACATTCACAGCTCAAACTAGCATCTAACTCGCCTTGATATGGTGGCGCTATTAACAAACTTTCGGTAGACTTAGTTGGCTGAAAGTGTCTGCTAGAACTGCCCGAATATGTTGTACCACTACTTGTTCGTCTTTGAACAGTACCAGTTGGCGTTTTCGCTCGTCCATGCGCATTTTTTCCTGGCCTTTCGGCGCTATGCGTTTTTATAGTAGCCGTATCCAAATAACCATATCCGAAACCGTAACCACCGAACGCCTTGGTAGTCAGATTGTCCCAAGATTTTGGTTTGGCATATTGAAGGCACGGTGGTGGTCGTTGATGTACGCTTGGATCCCAATAAAGAGTATCCGTGCTTAGGCTCGTTGAACAAGAGGCAACGCTTTCAGCTGCGGTCGAAATATCGCTACTGGTAACAGAATGTAAACTATGTCCTGATGTGCGCGAGCAGCTATGTGTGCCATGTTGTTGTTGCTGTTGCGTTTGATTCGATTGTTCTCGTTGTACGTGATGATGCTGAACTTGTTGTTGCTGCTGCTGCTGCTGCTGTTGTTGTTGTTGTTGTTGTTGTTGTTGTTGTTGTTGTTGTTGTTGTTGTTGCTGCTGCTGCTGCTGATGATGATTTTGTTCATTCTTCGCCCTTCTCTTGTTTTTCTCGACGTCTACGACTAGGTACACAATTAGGATCACAGCATGGACTGGCTAAATCGTATGCATCTAAACTACCGCTATCTGATTGTTCTCTACGACGACTGGCGCTTGAAATACAAGCAACGCATAAACTATTTTGCGGAGGAGGATGAAGAGGAAGTGGATCTCCACCACTACTAGATTGTTGTTGCTGTTGTTGACAAGATTTGTGCGATTTCGATTTGGCCGGTGTGCTATTCATCCCGTTTGCTTGATGATAGCTATGTCGTGACGAAACAGTCATTCCTGATTCGCTCGACATCTTCGAGAGAAAATGATGATGATCGCTTCGTGAACGGGGAGGCCCTACTGTTACTAGACAAGCAGTGTTTCGAGGAACTAAACATGGTCGTCCATCTGGAAACTATAATATATAAAACCATCCATTATTTTTTTTCTAAAATCTAAATTAATCTGAAAATATAAACGATGTTTCTAATATACCACATTGTAAAATAACAGATGTTCCGTAGATGTAGCCGGTCGACAGCATTGAATTGTAGAAGAATTGAAACTTGACGATGGTGATGGCTGATTAGCGTTACTAGTAATTACACTATTAGGCGTTCTTTTACGGGCTGGCAGTGAATGGGTTTTCCATCGACCCATGAGAATAGATCGTTCCCTCTCACAGAGTCTTTCTAGCTCACCAAGGCGTGATTGTAGAGCACGTTGTAATTCAATATAACGCATATGCAATTCCACCTGAAAAAAATCATCGATATTGTACATTCAAATCTAAAACGATAAATTCAAATGGTGGTTATCGGTCGTTGAACTTCTCGATATTTACTTTTCTTACACAATCTTCGAAAGACACAACCATTCGCATTCTAGTATCACAGTTTTTTATGAAATTGACTAATGTCTTATGATCCGCTCTGTCCATTTCGTGGCCGTTTATTGAAAGTATCACGTCACCTTCTCGCATACCTGCTTTGAATGCTGGTCCATCGTATTCCACGTAATCAACATACGTGACCATCTCGATTTCTTGCTCTCGCTTGTAATGTATCCCATAACTCTGTCCAATTTCACGTGACTCGATTAAAAATTTTATATTTTTAAATCAAATTTGAAGTTTTTTTTAATAAAATAATAGAAATTCTAAACAATATAATTACATAATATGCTATTTCATAAAAATAAACATAATCACAGAATATAATTAAGATATAATTAAAGAAGATACATACAGTTGTTATTGCATGGATATGGATGATCGAGCAGATTACCTGTAACGTGAAACCGTATGTGCCATTTTTCTTCTCAACAATAATGGTACGACGACGTCTGTCTTCATCCGCTCGTGTTACTCGATCTGACTTTGATCTTTCTAGCACAGCCTACAAAAAAATACGATACTGGTAAGTTGGTATGATAAGCGGAAAACAAAGAAGCTTCTATTATTCTCATTCTCTAACATTGCATTATTTCGTCTAATTGAACTTATTCGTTCCTAATAAACTAAACAAATTTTTACTAAATTATCTACATCCTAAATATAGCGTCGCAACGAAATTAACGTAACCCAAAACATACGATGCATTTTTGGAAATACTTGCGCGATAATCGGGATTAATTAAATAAATAAAATCAACAGACACATCTACCAACATGAAACGCAAAAACTGGTACAACAAACGATAACAATAACAACAACAATAACAGTAACAAAAAAAATAAGAATCAGATAATAAGATTCAACACACGTTGTGCAATCCACAGAATTTCCTTGACCACGAAAAACAACTCGAAATGGGCAACAAGAAACTGCTCGAGGAAGGCTGTTTCAGCAAATAAAAATCATTCTTTCGATACACGAGTCGATGTAATAACATTACACATTCCACGACACCACTCCATTCCTCCTCGTCGCTGTTCTCAACGCCGGCACGATGTTGTTGCCCGGCCACCTCCGTATTCTGCGGCGAGTTGTTCATGATCCTTTGAAACGTAACACAAAAAAAAACAGGAGCGAGCGAACGAATCGAATTATCCTCGACGAAGAAATACTCTCTGTGCGCGGATTCGATCACCACCTGGGGGAGGGATCCTACGTGGCCGTGTGGTTGAGACGTGGTGCAAGCTAGGTATCAGGGCGTACGCGCGTTCTTATTCACTTTCGAACGTCAGCTTCACTTTCACGTTTCTTTCTCTCATTGTGCTTACATTTCGACAAGCGACGCGCCAGCCAGCCAACCAGCCAGGCCGCGAGGTTAACGTGCGTTTAGGCGCGATTATATATGTGGCTCTTTTATTGTTATCTTCCTTCCCGGCTGGTGTCGCCGGTTCCCAATGCGCTTGCCCGACAATATCGGCTTACAACCCCGACTGTTCGGTGGTAAGCACTGAGGGTGGCGGAGGAAAGAGAGAGCACGCGCAGTCTCATCATCCAGTGATCCCTCCTCTCTCACGTTCACCCTTCGTTCCTTCCTTCCGTCACCTTTTGTCACCCACCTTCCTTCCCTTCCTCTCTCTTCCCTTCGCCCCCGACGTTGGACAGGAATAACTTCTCGCGTGCAATGTCCTTGCGGTTTGCCGATGATTTGTTTCCTCCAGGAATCCAGGTTGAGTCGAACATCAAATCGGTATCAAGTTTTCTCTTTTTTTAATGGTACTTTCTTCTTTTTATTGACACCCATTGCGAACGTTACTCACCAAGTCAACGTTTATTTGCGTATACTTTTTTAATTTATTATATTGGAGATCGTTGAGGCTGTTAAAATATTTGCTATTTCTTTGCTCTGGTGATAGTACGAAGAAAAGTATGGTATTTAAAAAAAAATGGAATTGTCAAAAGAAGAGATATTCGATATAGTAATGTGTTAAAATAAATACATTTAAATAATTGTATTTTCATCGAAGTGAAATACACGCGTTAATATTAAGTTTTTTTTTTTTTTCATTTAAATAATAATTCGCCAGATGTATTTATTTGTTGATAATTTATTTTCTATTATACATACGTAATCGGTTTTACATTATTAAACAGTATTGAAGAAATTCTTTCATTTTTAGGTCGTTTTCGTTACATAGAGTATTGTGATATTTAGGAAAAAAATAATGAAAGAGAATGAAAACTGTTGCAAACAGGGAGAAACACAATCCAACTGTTTCTTTTATGTTTCTCCACTATTTCCATTTCTGTAGTTCGCCGAACTGTACCCCGAACGACGAAAATAACATGTCATGACGTCGTTGTCGTGGATTTCGATGTATTTTTATAAATATCTCGACGGACGGAGAAATAAGCTGCCTAATAAGATAAGAATGAAAATGAAAATAAGGAAAAGCATAAAAAAAAAAAAAGAAAAAAGCACGGAGAAAGAATCATCATCACCTAATGAACCTCCTTTGCTATTTCCTCTTCTTTTTTTCCGTGCTTATTTCTTTCTCAACTTTTTTCATTTCTTTTTCTTTCACTGTGACGATTTTCTCCACCGGTGGGGAAATTGTAACCGTTGGTTTTTGCAAAGGTGGCAAAGGTGGAGGCTTCGGTTTTGGAACTGGAACGTGTCTGCACAAATAATTAATCACTCGTTTCGTTGTTAAAAATCATCGATTTTATAATGACAATATTTATCATTTATATAATCAGACAAGAAAATTCAAATTCAAAAAAACCGGCATTCTTTTATCATATTTGTTACTTGCTCGTTAAATAAAGAAAGCAAACTACGTAATCTTTAAATGCTCGATCGAATGATCGATCGATTATTAGGAAAAGCGTGGGAAAGTTTTATGAAGTTTTATTCTTGCGATAATTACGTATTTTAATTTTTCTCTTTCTCGCTCTTTTCTCATTCTCTATTGCATTATATTGTTAGAGTTATTTACAGGGAAGGAAGAACTCTTTTTCGATCGAATTGAATAAACGATAAACGATAAACTTAATCTTACTTGATGGACATATGTATCTCTTGGAGCGATCTGTCCTGAGTAATATTGATCCAAATATTCGACTGGGTCCTCGGTTTAAGGCAGAAACCTTTATCCACGCAACATTCCGCATGCTCGCGTTCCTCCTGGACCTGATACTTCCTCTCCCAACACTCCTCCCATTTGCGTAAACGCTCCTTCTCCTCCGCCTCGCGCCTCTCCCTTTCTTCCCGATCCTTTCTCTTTCTCTCCAAATCTTTCGCCACTTTCTTCGACTTGCGCTTCTTTTTTTCATCACCCCGCTCCATTGTTTTTGCATTTTCCCCATTCTTCACATCTATCCTTTCCCAACACGGTTCGCCAATCACCTCTTCCGCTCGTTTTAATTGCGAGAAAGTTTCCTCTTTAATTGGCGGTGTTGCCTGCCTCGTTTTTCTATTCGGATCGAGGAGAACGTATAGAAATATCGCCTCCAATTGAAGAGTTATTAGTATGTTTTCAGTAAGAATCTTAATTAATGCATGATACGGGTCGATTAACTGGAAATTAAAAGAGAAACATTAATGAGGAACAGATAAAATTGGATTTTTCTTTTATTTTTTTACTTATATACGGCTCGAATGATCATATTTGACGGTGATATTATTGTACTAATAATAAATTATAGCGATTGTAATAACGTAAAAAATTGGAATTTTAAAATGTCAACTGCATTTTAAGAATATTTTACAATTTCATAATATAATTAATCTTATTAAAGATAAATAAATTTCAATCGCGTTACGTATCAATAGAATGATAAATGTCAATTAACAATCGTTTATCACTCGTAAAAAATAAAATTATATAATCAAACGTAAACTTATAAAGTCACCTATGACCAGTCGATATTAATTATTATTTAAAAGAAATCTTGTTTAATTTACTGAGACAATGTGTAGTATTTTTTGGTTTATGTTACATATTTCTGTTGTGCTTATCATGTTAATGGAAAATTTTGTGGTATGAAAGTATGATTTGGAACTATGGTTGGAAGTACGAAATGAACGTGATCAAATATCGAAACAAAAACCAAAGTTTACGACGATTTATTAGAAGATAATTTCATTTTAACGACCTCTGAAAAATTCTAGAAACGCTTGTCTTAAAATTTTTCGATTCCTTCATGAATTATTTTCATTTTATTTTCCTCTTATTGTTATTATATTATTTATTATATTGTTTGTAAATAAAAATAAATTGTGTATTTTAACTTCGTAACATTTTTCAATTTTGACAAATGTCTCGCTCTGCTTTTATTTTATCATTTTATCGAAACAAGATTTTAATCGAAAGAATTCGAATAATTTTTATTCATTTTTACGAAATACAAAAAAAAAAATTAATATGAATTGATGTTGATCTAAGCCTTTTAAATTCAAAATGCAGAATAAATAATACTGGGACGACCTTTACGCGTTGTGAAACACAATTCGAATCTAATTATATTCCATTGCTGACATTTCCATATTATCATTCTACCAGAATAGAATTGCATTTGATTGAAAGAAATGTAGTTTCAAATATAATTTAAATGCATATTAATGGTATTATTAATTTTCTTCATGAATGGGCGAATAAAGATCACATAAAGGTCAATTTTATTTAGACATTTTTTTTAAATGAAATTATATATTTTTTTAATATACCAATCGATGCAATTCGATGCAATTCTCTATAGAAAAATATTAACATATATACTTAAAAATCATTCAGTTTGGTAAAATTTATTGCACGATTCAAAATTTAAATTAAAACATCCAATAAAATCAAGAAGTGAAAATCATTCTGAAAGACACCCTAATAAATATTCGCATAAAACGTTTCATATTGAAATCAAATGTTCACAATTTTTCCTTGTTTTAATAAAAATGAATGAAAACATGTCATTTTTTTTCAACAATGATTCAAACTTTCCTTCATTGATAAAATAAATCCTTGAAATATCGAAGCGATATTTTCAAAATTTTGAGGAAAAAAGTCATTAAATTAGATAATAATCACTTACTTGTTACGCATTTTCCTTATAAAATATCTTCTTTCATTTAGATTTGCAACAGTTGCAACTATAATCCTTCACGGGACATCCACATTTTTTCACGGTCTCTTTAGTAATCAGATCGGCAAACTTTTTCGGTGCGGAGGCACCGCAACAAGGTGGACAAGGAGGTGGTTCCGCACATGGCGTGCATTTTCCTTCTTGACGAGCTGCTTCGCGTATCGCAGCGAACGTTTGATCAGTTGAACAGGGACACGTCTGTTGCTCTTTTCGTCGTAGTTTCGGCGAGCATGGACATTGTTTTCTGAAAATGAATAAAGAATATTGTTAAGAGAATACCTTTTTTGTTGATGAATGACGTCGAAGATAAATATCGAAAAGGAATTGAATAATACATTCGAAATTGAAAGATTCATAATAGAAATTAATAGATTCATAATAGTCTCTCTACAATAATTGTAGATTTGTCTGATAATGTTTTGTTAAAGAAAATATAAATTGAACAATTGAATTCATTTTCGTTTGCCTTGATTTTTTATTATTCCTTATTATTATTATTCATTTTATAGCTAATTTTTTTCAATTTCTTATTTTTAATCTCTGCAATAGAAATTGGAAACTACATTCATTGTGTGTCAAAAGTGACTAAGAGATTTAGCGAACTAGTTTTCGTTATTTAATTAGCATTGGTAAAAACTGGGTCAAAAATAAGTAATTAATAAATAATTTAATAAATGTTTCTGATCGAGATTGTTCCAATATGAAACCAAAAGATCATTAATTTATCGACCTAATTAACGCCATTTGAAATTTAGAAATGTGATGTGGTATTATTTCTAGCAAAATTTCAATGTAAAGATCTTGATGAAAAATATATATTTAAAAATAATCGTTTTATCCATTTATTATTAATATAAAAAAAAATGATAATGTCATTGAAAAACATTCAATATTCAACTGTAATATTCGTCAAAAATATTTTTTAAATTAGCTAGTATCGATCGCTCGTTAGTTTGTGTTGTATTATTACATAATATATTACATATTTGATAAAAATTTTAACAAGATTGATATTTTGTTAAAAATAAATACATACATCAATGATGAGCTCTTATACACTGTTAAAATAACAAGTGCAGAAACAATAAAGTGCAATATTTCATAATTTCACCAGATGGCAGCATAAGTCGAAATATCGGATGTACAGTAACTCGCAAAAATATTTAGACACTTACGTATATTTAACAATCTAGTATATATTATTAATTATGAAAGAAATGAACTAACTCAAACTTGTTTCTTTCGATAGAACGCTTGTATCGTATTTTACAAATTTAACTTTTAATTTTAAATAATTTTAAAATTGCTATTTTTAATTATTTTTAAAATATCCTTTTTGTAATACCAAAAATAGTTGTAATTTAATTTAATTTTTAATATTATTTCATTATATCAAGTTTTAATTAAACAAGTTGCACATATTTGTAAAGTACAATAAATAGTCTATCGAATGAAATAAATTTGAATTTCATTTCTTCGTATAATTTAATAAAGATATAGCTTGTTGAAGTTAAGCGTATGTTTACGTCCGAATATTTTTGGGAGTCATTATACTTCTTTATATACTGTAGCGGGCGTTAAAGAATTCTCTACAATTGTTTACAGTAACAGATATAAGTGTTATCAAAACACTTATATTTGATGAAAATAGACGAACCTTGACTTTAATCAATGTTTTAAACATTATCACGTATGTTTAAATGTACAATTTAAATATATGCCTATGAGCATTTAAAACTATGCTTGAAACTTGAGAGAACGAAACGTCATATTTAAAAATCGAATGCTCGTTCAAAAAATTATATTAAATTATCTTTAGTAACAAACGTGTATTTACAAAAATTTTCGAGAGTGATGATCGATTTGATCTGATCTGAGAAATACCTTTTGCAGGTAACCAAGTTAACGATCGCTCTCAGGTATGGCGATCACCCGTGTGTGACCGTAACAGGCAATAACCTTATGAAACTGTACTCCCGTAATAACACTTATTAGGAATAGAAAGTTGAAAAAAGATAGATTCGTTGCAGTCGAATACCAACGTGGTGACAACTTGTCAGTGGTGTTATATATAGAAAAATGAGATCAAAGTAAACTATCTTCAAATATTATTCTCTTCGCGATAAATTTCTTGCGAATGTTTTGAAAAAGAATTAACAAAATATAGGATTATATATATATAGATTATGAATAGAGGATAGGTGAAAAGACATAGAAAAAGAAAGAAAAGAATTGCACGATACTGCCAAGTGATAAAACTGGTTGCGCAGCCTTCTACGCTTACACTCTAGTTTATTGCTCGCTGTGTTTCAACGTATATACAAAAGTACGTACCCTTGGCGCGAGGCGCAGCAAGGTCGTGGACCGTAATCGGGTTGTTTAGGCAACGGGGGACACGAGTTGGTTTGCACGATCGGTGTCGCACAACAGGTTCTTCCTACCGTCTCGCCGCTTCCATCGCACTTCTTCGCGCAGGTACACTTAACCGGGGCCGGTGTGTAGCACTCGGAGGGTATTTTTTTGCATTGAAAAACAGGACTGTCATTCGCCCCCTTGAAAAGATACGGTTTCCTATTGTGCGGTATTTGAAACTGGGTGATGATCTTCTTGCCGAAACAGGAAGCTCTTATGTAAACTGTCACGGATCCAACGCATTGTCCGGTCGTTGTTGTGATTTTAAACGTGTCCTTGATCGTTTGACAAGGATTAGGTATTTTGAACACCTGTTGGCTCAACACGGCGTTTATTATCGCCTTCGCCTCGATCTGGTACGAACCGATCAACATTACATCCGGTAATACTCCAGGTGGCAGTTTTTTGTAGACAGAGAGTTTTATGGGGAAGGTGGTCAGAGGTCTTTGAAGAACGATCGATGGCAAAGCGAATAAACAGGATTTACCCTTCTTGAACACTTGCGTGTCGCCCTCGACACAACCGCAGCCGTCTGTCAAAGCTTCTTGGCAAATGTCGATTGGGGGTAAACTGAGAATCTGTGGATTAACATTTTTGAAAAGCGTGATTATCGTTTCGAGAAAAATTAACGTAGTTCTTGAATGAATTGTTATTAAGATTAACAGGAGTAACGAAAATTAAACGAATTTTATTTCGTTCAATCATCGATTCTTGCAACTTGAATTGTGTAAGTAAAATTCAATTTTTTTTCTTTACCTATATGAGAAACCTAAAATGAGATAATTGTAAAATTATAATATTTATATACAACGACGCGTGTAATAATAATTTTTTAAATAATATTATTGGATAAATTTTTAACGAATTGATCATTTTTGTACGTACAATAGAAAAATGAGTGGGAAAAATGAGAAGAATGTTAATGCAAGATGTTTATGCGACGAGGTTATACGGTTTTCGGGAAGATAATATTAGGTTAATAGGTAACGTGGAGTTCAATATAATTTTAAATTACTTGAAATGAAACACACGTGGAAGCTGGTAATAATTCCTCTTGCATAGCTCTAATCACAGGAATTTTAACTTTGTCGACCAGAAACTCAATCAAGAATAATTCCTGTTCATCGGTCATATTTACAAGATTTTAAAACATATTTGCCCAATTTTTAAAAAGATTATTACATATAACAAATCTTGTTATCTCTTCTAACCCTCAATTTAGATAATTCCCAATTCGAGTCGTGCGATTTCAAAATTTTCAAAGTTCAAAATCTAATAATAACAATCCGATCTAATGTAACATAACAAGGGGGCGCTCGGTTCGAACGATCACTCAATTTTATACTGTAAGGGGGGAAGGAGGGGAAAAAAGAAAAAGAAAAAAAAAAGAAAAAGAAAAGAAAAGAAAAGGAAAAGAAAAAAAAATCACTAGATCACCAGAACTTTCTAAAATAATTAAATTCAATTTGAACAATCATTTTAATAATTCGATCAATAAATCAATATAGATATATAAATATAATATACAAATATACACGCAACAATGAGATCGATATCGTTCGTAGGAATCCGATCCGAGGAAAAGAAATTTCTTAAAACGATCCACACCTATTCACTTCTTCTTCTTCTCCTTCTTCTCCTTCTTCGCTTTCTTCTTCACCTTCTTCTCTTCCGTCTGCATCTCCCTCGTCTCGCACCTGATCGGGGGCCCCCTCTCCGTCCCCTTCGGCGTTTTCATCTCCAATTGTATGTCAGACTTCTCCCCAACCCCGACGATCCCCTTCTTCCCGATTCTCAGCACGAACACGTCGTGATCGGGGTCGGACGTGTCCGGGCCAGGAGCATCCGATTCGGCCGCCACGGTGACCGTGGGCTTCTTGTCCTGGCCGGTGTCCAGGATCCCGGACACCTTCAGAACCACCGCCTTGCCGCACGGTTGAACCGGCCCACGGCTCGACTGTATCAAACCCGTCTTGTGCACGTCCGCGCAAGTCTCGAGCTTGGACGCGGCCAACAACGCGCTCCCAGCCGTCGAGTCCATCCCCTTCCGGCTCACGTTCGGCTTCAACGTCGCCCCGGTCGGGTCCCCGCAAGGCGTGCAAGGGTGTTGCTCCTTGATGCAAACGCGGCAAGGGGGCCCGGTTTTCAACAGCTCCTCCTTCGAGTCCCTGCAAACGTCCATGATCTGGGAATCGATGATTCGACATTTGTAAGCCACCGATTTCTCGTTGCACTCGTCTCCCTTGAAGATGTACGAGGACACGGTCCGCTCAGGCGGCGCCTCGAACTCGGTCACGATCGTTTGCCCGAACGCGGACACTCTGACGTACATGCACACGGCCCCGATCACGTTGTCGTTGTAGAGAAGTGGCACCTCGCCCTCGAACACTTTGGGCGGCGGCGCCATTTTGTGCCAGCACTGGAGCATCTCTTTCCGCAACGCGGCGAAATGTTTGCTAAGGTCCAACTCGCCGCTCCCCACAAGCACGTCCGGTTTCACGCCCTCAGGCATCTTCTTCTGTACGCAAACCTTGATGACCAGGTCGAAGAGTTTGTTGATCACGCTGTACTGATCGATGGCGAACATCACGGAACGACCGGAAAAGAAGTACTCGATGTCGTCCGCTATCCCGGCTTGGGGGTGGAACATCGGGTCAACCGGGGTGATCTCGATGCCCTCCCGCCCGGTGAAATTGAGAAACTCGACGGATATCGTGGTTGGGACGAAGAACATTTGATTGAGTTTGGCTAAACGATCACTGGTCATGTGGTGGATGAAGAATTCCAATAGGAAGAGGTATTGCTCCTTGTTCTCGAACGCGATCACTTCACGGCTACCGAACTCCGGTATCGCGACCACGTCCGTTTTCTCCTTGATTTCTTTCGAGGCCTTCTTGTTCGAACCACGTTGACCACGCTCCATTAATGCAACCTCGTTCTCACTCGACGAGAGGCATCAGAATTGTTTGGAAACGAGGGACGAGACACGCGATAAAATTTCCATCGATTGAAAAATGATTCGGATTAACACTTCGAATTTTTTTCGGAATCCTGACAATTAGGTTAAAGATGTAGTTCCGTGATGTTTGCCATAGGATTCGATTTCGCCCGCAAGATCGATCCGGTTATCGATTAGTCGTAGTGGTTACACGCGAGAACCTTGGAGAACTGGTTTCGATCTCTCCCTCCCGAAAACAACAATCCTCCTCGTTCCAACTTTCGATTGATCCGGCGTCCGGGACGACGGGAAGTTGAAACCGAGAACCGGAACCGGAGGGATATTCCCCTCCCCTCCCCCCCCTCCCCTCCTCGCCGTCTCAGAAACGGCGTCATGTCATCTCGATAATCGAGATACGGTTACGGTTCTTCATCTATACGCGCGATGACGGGCCAAATTCCTTCCAGTCCAGTGTAAAAACTTGAGTGAATCATCTCGATTATGTCGTTTAATCCGTAAATTTAATCGGTAATTTTATTTCGAGTAAATAATTTTCCACGTGAGAAAATTCGATTCTTTTTTTTTCTTCTTTTTCTAAATTCAATTACGTGAAAATGTTTATGGTACGATATGTGCACACACATATATATATATATACACACACACACACACACACACATATGCATATATATTATGCTTGTATATATAGCATTTGATCATCGAAATTAGTTTTAAAATTTCTATCTCTTTTTTCCCGTGCGATTCTATTTAAAACTGATGAAATACGCGATGGCAAAGCTCGTAATAAATAACAAACTTTACTACGTTATTAAGATGTTTATACCCAGGAAGATGTTTATACACAAGAAGCAAAGAATAAGACGTATAACCTCTTTGATCCTTTCGAAACGAAATTTTCTTTTGAAAAATGAACGCAAAAATGATACGATACGATTGAAATAAATTACAAAAAAAGGAAAAATGAGATTATACATTCCAATATTACTTCATATCGATAATATTAGAAACTTTATTAATAATGCATTCTATCTGCTCTTGTATAAGTTACCTTGAGATACGTTATCTTCTCAATAATCTCGAAAGAGTTAATATCCATCACTTTACTTTGGAGAATATCCTGTATAAATAATATGTGAAAAAAATATTTTGAATTAAATAAAAAAAATCAAACCATCCGTCAATTTATAACAATACTCGTTAAGGCATTACAAACATCGTCAATGGAAAGAAAACGTATTTCTGTTAAATTCTGTATTTTCAATTATTACTTTTCTTCGCAATCGATTCATTAATAATTCATTAACGTAGATATTTATAACTATCTTTGCTTATAATTAATGGCACGAGTTAAACGAGAGATAATTTAATTACGTATACACACGATCGTCATCATTTGATATACATCCAAGCCCAAAAAGACAATTTGTAATTTATGACAAGTAACGTTCCAGATAATAAATTTTTACAACTAATTCGATGACTTCGTAACCGTAAAATCACCTTATAATCGCCGTGTTACGTTTCCAGTTTCCCGAGCCACCACCCCTCGATTATTACCTAACCGACGTTTCGCCAACGCTTAAATCAGATGGAATATTTTACCATGGGAAACCATCCATGTCCCATAAATGCGTGGGCAAGCAGCTCAAGCCGATCAAACGGACGATACGTGAGTTTATCAGTTTGAATAATCATTATCTTGTTCAAATATACGAACGATATACGAACTGTTCGAAGAACGACTACTTTGTTCACTTTGGAAATCGTTACATTTATGAACTCGTGAGAAAAGGAAAAAAAAAAAAAAAAGCAAAGAGAATTTATAAAATGAGAATTTATAAAAGAATTTATAAAATTTTCTTACGTAGAAAATTTCTTTTTTCAAAATTAAATGCGTAAATTAACGATTTATTTCACATGCAATCCCGATTTAATTTTTTGAAAGCAAATATCGATGTTTAATAAATATTTATGATTAAATTTCGATGTGCTAATATTATGGATACGTTATATTTTTATGTTAATATACTCATGATTAGATACGAGGCGAGAAATGAACTTTTCCACGATCATTGAATTATCTTCGATTCGATCTTTTTTTTCAATCGTTAAATGATTTTTCATCAAAATTGTTCAAGTAAAAATTCCTCCTTTTGATCTTTGTACACATCGTTATTAATTTTTTCCAAACACATTAAAAATCCATCCGTTTAATGAAGCAACGGTGATTTTTAAAATTTTTTAAAAATAGCTTTTATAATGGATTTTAAATTTTGAAAATAACGATCCCTTAAAGTGATCCAAGTAAACGATACAAGTGGTCCCAGGCTTTCTTGGATTATACTTTCCATTATATAAATAAATGGAAAATGTTGCTTTTACCAAAATGCGAAAGAAATAAACTTGCAATTACCGTGATGCAATACAGAATTAGATCGATAACAATATTTACATTTCGTCCGCTTATGCAAACTGTACTTCTGAAAAATCCAATATTGTTTGTTGATAAACGATTTTTCTCCTCGCGAAACATTTTAAAATTTATCTTCTAATCAATCCAAATAATTCCACTGTTATTAATTGTGCGCATCAATATACTTCTACTTTATTAGGAAATCTATGTTGACACTTTCTTAGAATAACTCTATATTTCCGCTGCAGAAACGAAACGCGCATCTCCATACTCTCGATTCATAAATAACTATGGCATTTCGTTTGTCAAAAGCTTACCTTTTATCTATCTCGTTGATCGATTCTTGCGTTGTTTATTTATTCCTTTCACGTTTATTTATTTATTCAAATAATATCAAAATTAATAATATTCTTTCTATTTCACAATTTGATGATTTAATTTAAACGAAACAATATATTTATCCAATTTCTTTTCCTTTTCTTATTTACAATTACGACAATATCTCTATGAGAAAATTTGGCTTTCTCGAATACTCGAAAGATAGAAATTAATCATTAATATGAATAATAAATATTCGATCAGAGTCACAAGTGTTAAATCGTGCGTTTATCCCGCGCCGTTTAAACGATTATTCTCCTGTTAGTGACAATGAAAAGCTATGGCACAATTGAGTTAAGTCAATCGAATTAGAATGTCGCGTAATTGTTACAGTCGACCCTCTAGCGCCTATACAGGAACTGGATCCACGCGTTTTACAAGAATGGGTTGACAAGGAGCAAACGTACGTGGATCGTCCTACGAAAGATGAGGGTGTCGTTTACAAAACGCTTTGTTTCTTGCCGAAATCGAAGCTGATTTATCACCGAAAGCAAAAACGTTGGTATCATTTATTCATTTGTCAAATAATATTACTTTTTTACTTTTTATCATTGCGAAAATTCGACAATTTACGATTACGCAACGGATAGAAAAATTTACAGAGTAATTGATTGTACAAGTGGGGAAGAAGTGTGATACTATCCCAGATACTTGTCCCAAAAGTTTTTTTCGTTATTTGAACACTTGGTTGTTACGGAGTGAAATTTCAGAGATATGCTGTCTGCTTTCTGATTAACATTCTTCTGTTTTCTAATGCCGCGTGTGTTTCTTGTTAAATGACTTTTAGACTTTTTTGCAAAATTTATTTGTTATAATTTATCATTAAAGTTACAAGATTAATTTATCAAAAATTTAAAAAAAATTTATTCTTCAAAGAGAGATATTTGGAAATGAATAAAAGGCATTTTAAAGAGATAAAACAATGAAATTTATCCAAGTAAAGTGGCAAGTATAAACAAACTTTTATAAACTTTTATAATATCATTGAAACGTATTATTCTGTTCTGCTTTGATCATCAATTTGGTAAAATGAAATAAAAGAAATTCTAGAAAGATAGAATTGGGTTCTCTTTGAATTTTTTTTAGAATTAAAATGGATAATAACAGTAACAATGCAATAATATAGAAATATTAATAAATTTACATAAATATATATTAGAATGACCAATTTTTTACATTTATTAATTGTTGAATTAACTTTATCGATATATATTGATTTGGGGATATCATTTTATTTCGACAGAGTAAGATCCTTTTGCTTGTCTGGGATATTAATTGTTACCCACTTAAAGTATGATAGATCGACACATACCAGTCTGGCAATTTCGGCCAATCGAATATCGGCCAATCAAACGTAGAAATAATTTAACATCCGAGAAGCAATCAATGACGAAGCGAATCATAAACGACACTAATTCGTTAATGAGTCACGAGTGATTTGTAACCCAATTCGAGTCGAGTCCAGTTGGAAAAATTAATCTAATTGCCGATCTAATCATCAATAAACTCTTTTCTCCCCGCTTTAATCCCCAATAAGGGATCGAGAATTTTAATAAATTTCTAAAAAAATCCCCCTAACTTTTCATTCATTCTAAATATCTTCCTCAGCTTTATTCTCCGTGTTTCCCCGATCGGTGCAATATGAATTATGGTACGTGCGTGAAAAGAAAATGAAAGAGCTTGAGAAACAGAGGGCACCCATCGCACCATGCACTACTCAAAAAGAAGAAACGCTTAAGTAAGTGTTTCCGTCGTGTCTTTTACGATAAAATTAACGATATTTCTTGCAGGAACGATGAAGAACCGTGCCAGCTATTAGAAATACCATTCTGGTGGAAAGATAAAACCGAAAAACCGAGCGGCATCCCTCCCCCAATTGGGAACATAAACGACTACGGGTACGAGAAGTTTGATAAAAGCCTCGTGCAAGACGTAAAAATTAGCGAAAAACTCGAGATGGATCATCCGAGCAAATATATACCCGGTGCAATTCATCGATTACAGGTATATTGTATTACAAGAATTGAGTAGCCGAGTTTCTCTTAATTAAGTGAAGCGAACAACGAGTTACTTCTTTATTGTCGAAAATTTGAGAATTGAAAAAGAAATTAAATTAAGTTAAAGCAATGTTAAACATGAAATATGATATAATAATATTTAATCAGACTTAATGTATCGTTTTTAACTTACTTAGGCGTTATTTGTAGAAAACATTTGCAAACGATCATTAAAGTAATATATTGTCTTGTCTGGTTAGATATCATTTGAAATAGTTGTGTATTTTTTATAATAATATTATGTTTTTTAGAATGTCAGTATATCATTTTTGTTTTACGAATAATTAACTTAAATTGCTTAAATTACTATCTGCAATATGTTTTGTAAGATAATATAGAGATGCCTAGTAAAGTGTTTCAAATTATAATTAAATGTATTTTAGGAATGCATAGGTGGTTTACGTGAATTGAGTGGAAAGTATAAAATAGAGAAAGTGAAAATGTTTGTATGAAGTTAATTTTTATATATTAATTTTTTGATTTTCTTTGACTTCCCAATAAGAATCTCGATCGATGTCTAATTCTCTTAATATTTACAATGTTGCTCTAATTTAAAAAAAAATCATTGTTTCGCTGTTAAAACGAGATTAGAGGATATTGGAAAAATATATTTTTATTAAATTTACGAACAAGATCAATTGGAGTTACGTGGATTGAATCACGATGTTCAATTTTCGTTTTAATTCTATTTTAACGTGTTGAATATTGAATAATGAAAGTACAATGACTGAGCGGAATGAAAGCTTCGAAAATGGCGGAAAATTCGAAAGTGATCGTTTGTTTTTTTATTGTTTATTATTTTCATTGTTTAATGTTTGGGGAAAGTTAAAATAGAAACTTTCAGGCTTATGACTTGAATTAAGGATTCTCCTTAAGGAAAAATGTTTACAACATTATCGAGATCATTTTGAAAAAAAAAATATTACTTTATTTTATAATTCGTTTTTAAAATAATTATATTTTTCTGATCTATTAATCTTCAAACTCCAAACTTAACTTGAATCTAATTATATTCCATTTTCCATATACAAACATATTTTAAAAGAAATCAGTTAAAACCAGTTAAAATGTTCTGATTATTTTTTTTTTTTTTTTACTTCAATTTTAACGATTATATTGATTATATATAGATTAAATGTGAAAGAGAATGATAAATACGTAATTATATTTGCACGAATGTTTGAAATCGCGCGCAAAAGAAACAAACTTATTTCGTAAAAGACGAATGAAAATATATCTTTTCCAATGTATTGTATTGAACGATGAAAAAATAAATCTTCTAAAATAAGCATTTTACTTTTATTCCAATCAATATGAAATTTATATGAAATTCAAATATATTATTTAAATCTAATCCAAATCTTTTTTTTTATTCCAAATTTTTCCAAAAGAACTATCCTTGTTTGTTTGATTTTTAAAAACAAAAATGGGACAAGAATTAATAGTTGACTGGTCCATGACGATGCTAGCGTGAGAATAGCGCATCAGTAAAATTAAATATCCGGAACATCGTGCCACAAAACAACGCTCTTTCCTGCTAGAATCGTCAGATGCATGAGTTTCATTTGTTACGCCACATAAAAGTTGCGTTTTTATTCGATGATTTGCAAGTAGCGCAAAAATGAATCAAGTCCTGCAAGCTAATTATTAAAATGAATATTTTTTTTTTTATTCTTAATTTGAATTAGAGACGCGTATAAATAGGATTGAATTTTGATGAGATTACGTACATACGTAAGAAGTAACTATTTGTTCGCTTATTCGTTTTCATTACGTCACCGTGTGTACAAGGTATCACATGCATTTTTCATACAATACTATATCAAGGTTAACGCGATTATGCATTGAAACATATGTGTAGCAAACACGAAAATGCAAATGTATCGTCGGTTTAATTTTCTACGCGTATACTTCTCGATTGAGGAAATGATCGAATTTTGAGCAGGGCTCAGGCGACACAAGTATGATAGATGCGTTGCATCAAGCAGATACCTTTAAAATTGTTCTGAAAGAGGACGAAACCTTGGCAGAAAGCCCACCTGTTGAGGAAAACGTTTGCTATTCTAAAAAACGTGAGCATTTTACACTTCTTCCTTTCTTTCTTTGAACCATCTGGAATGAGCTTTTTCCTTCTTTTTTTAAAATTTACATTGAAGTGATTTTTCACACTTCTCTTTCAAAATTATCTACTTGAATCTTTTTTTCTTTTTTTTATGTTTCCTTTTATAGAAATAATTTATCAGGCTTTTAATATCTTTTTAATTTTATCGAATGAGTTTATAATTGGAATCTTACAAATGATTTTAAAATTGTTTTGTAGCACTCGTATCGGATTGCGATGAAGTTAGTATAGAAGATAATGACAAGGATATTCGATGGTATCCTGTACACGAAGATTTAGATTTACCAAAAACTGACGCTGAAAGGGAAGAGGAATTACGAAAATTAACCAAACCTTTTTTACACGATTTGCATATATGGTATACAAAGAACAAACCAGCGAAATTATTCACCCCTATTAGACAAATTGGAAAGAAAGCAATGCCTGAAAGACGTTTTTCTCATTTGTAACATTTTATTATTAAGATTAAGGATAAATAAATTGTGTTGTTTATAAATTAATAAAGATAAAATGAAATGAAAATTAATAGAATAAGAAAGAATACTCGCGTTATATTATTCATTGAAAAAAAATAAATGCAGCAATATTGTGAAATGATTTTATATGATATAATCAGAATTGTTGAAATAACGCGTAAAAAGATTAAGACCATATATTAATTGAATTAAAAAGAAATATTATCACATTTACTATCTTATAAAAAATTAATGATGCAATTATGAAACGTATTTCATAAATGCAACACAATTTTCTAAGAACAATCATTGTCTAATTAATTGCTAATAATGTAAACATGTTATATCTCATACATAGATATATATTAAATTCTTATATTAAGTTCTAAAATTTTAAAATTAATGTTACGAGCATAAGATATTTAATTTCCAAAATTGATTTAAACATAACTATTAAATTACGCCATGAATACTTATGTTGTACGGTTAGATTTCTTTTTTGCATGATGCTTGCAAATTCCATAAACGATATGACCATCCTGACGAAAAGAATTGTGTTATTAATCTGTCTCTCAAAGATCTCTTTTTGAATATTCTTACAATTTACTTATTCTTCTTAATGTATATTTAATATATTGAAATTCGATAATTTTCACGAATCGATAATATTGAAAAGTAACATGTACATTTGACGAAATTATCGAATCGATCAAAAAATCGTATTGTTTGAATTGTTATATTTCATCGATTATCGCTTTTCTCGATATCAATGAATCGATGTCATGCTCGATTGTATAAATGGTTAAAGATTTTATTGATTATTGGTGTAATTGATTGATATTTTGATCTTTTAAATTGCGTCATTATATACATTTACACGTAGCTGTAGACATGCCGGTCAGGATTTCATCATACGATCCTTACCACGTGTTCGTTGAATTAACTTAACACGAAAACCACGCCTAATAGCAAATATTAATTTAAAAATTACTATCAAGATGTAGATAACATAGAAAACATATAAAATAATTTTGTTTGGAAAAGAAAGAAAGAATACATTTTATAAGATACGTATTATTAAAATATTTCAATATAGAAATTTGAAATGAGAATATAAAATATCACATTCAATGAATTCGGTTAATAAATATTTGTTATTTTTTTTTTTGTAAAGTTAAATTTTGATAATAATATTGATAAAAAAAGAAGTATAAAAAAAAATTATTTTCAATATTTATGTAGTTAATTAATTATTCGATCGATTTTGAACATAGTGGAAAATACTTAAGCAAAATTCGATTACTGATTGCTACGTAGGACGTTCGACCTCTGGCGGTTGGTTGACGAAACGCAGTGGACGCTCTTCCGGGGACAAAAACTTTCAGTTTATTCCCGTTTATTCTTGTCTGAACGGCAGTCTCCTTCAGTCGCTGTTCGCGGTAGTGTACGGTGTTACGTTGGGCAAGACTCGCTCGGTGTGCTGTGAATCACAATATAGTGCCATATTCGCATCGCAATAAATTTATTAATCCAGCACATAAACCAGCATTTGCCAGAAATGAAATAACATCAAATCAAGGGATCCGTTTGTACATGCCACGTTCGTCTTTATACAACATAAAATCACGGAGCACGTTTTCTATACCTAACGACAGGTACATGTAGCTTTCGATTTACTTTTGAAATCCATTATTAGATACTCGCTCCCTCTAGTACTATTTAAGGTTTCGTATATTTAATTTAAAATATAAAATAGATAAGAATTAGTTTAAGAAATGATAATCAAATCGTTTGCAATTGATCGTTTTCCAAATTAAATTTTTGAAAAATATATTATTGATGAACAATCGATTGATGTGATCGAAATTTCACGAATTTTTTAACATGCTTTAAAATTTATTAACATGCTTTAAATTAATTAAGTAGTCTATGAAATATGTTTATATTAAATAAATGAATCGTTTATTTTCTTAAATTTTATATCACGTTAATTTGAATAATATATCGATATTTAAAATTCTATTAAATTCTCTTTATTATTAAGTTCCAAGCATCAGCATACATTTTAAGATTTTCGCGCGCGTTTAACTATTATATATTTACTGGAAATTCTCTTACATTCGTAATAGTATTCAAGTACATACAAAATTCAAAGAAGAGAACGGTATTACAATACCATGAATTCTCTTTTCCGTTATTTTAAATCTTACCATTATAGTATGAATTTATGAGTTTTACATAAATAACATAAATAACATTAACCGATGTTAAGGTTAGATGAGCAAAGGTTATCTATATATTTTTTGAAAAAATTTGCAATTCGTATTTCAAATTGATTTTAACTTGAAATTTCAAATTACTGATTCTGTAAATATTGGTTACAATTATAATTATTTTTATATTACTAATAACATAATAGCTAATTATTAATAAATATCTAAAACTATCTTCTATAATCGATGAGTGAAAGTTAATCAAGAAAAAAAAATATTAAATTTGGAAATTCCTATAAAAGATAATCTAGATAGTGTGTAAACTACAAACGTAAGAGCGTATTTCATCAGTATAAACATGCTGTTACGAGCACGTGGTGTTAAGTTTGTGTAGACGCGACTTGTATGGCTCGTGATAGCAGTTCCATCCATAGTAACTTTGTATGATGTAACTTCGTGTCGATATTTCGGACCTGCGCATCGAAACTGCTATTCTCTATGCTATAAGCAAATTCGTTCCTTAACCCTTTTCATGAAACAAATCGATTTTTCTTGTAACTCTTGTAATTCATGTTTTTTTATAATAGTGCATTATTATATTTGACATGTCATGATAGTGTCAAGTTTTTATCACATATTTCACAATATAAAAAATCATTTCCGTTCCTTATTTTATCGTTCGAAGAGATAACTCGTATAATGAGTTACAATATATTATAATAAATTATAACAAATCGAATAGATATACTATAGAATAAATTATATTTCTTTCTTATTAAATATTTAATGTAAAAAATAAAAAATTTTGATTTCATTAGATTTGAAATAATTATTTATAATAATATATTATTAAAATTATATAATTAATGCAACATGATTTATTTTATAAATATTTATTCTAGATTTTTATATCCTTGTAATGATTAGTTTTTAATACTACAAAATTTTATAAATTATATATTTTATTGAAGATTTTTGATATTATTATTTTCAAGAATTTTATAGTTTTTTGTTTCTTATGTCATTGCCAAATTTTATAGGCAGATGCATTAAGAAAAGATGGGATATTTCTTGGAACGAAAGAAGAGGCTGGCCAATCCTGTTTCAGAATAGCACGAAAGATTTAGTCGACCTTGTCTATATACAATAAGCTCTTGAAAATAAATTATATTCAGTGATCTTGATAATTTTCTTAAGAATTTCTAAAATTCTTTCGAAAAAATATTTAAGTTTCGAATAAACTTTTATTCGACAAAATTTATGCCAAAAGAATATATCTAGTGAAAATCATAAAGTGAAATTTCTAGGGATAATTCCAAAGTATATATATATATATATATATACACATACATTAGACGAGTATCGAGCTCTTTGAACTCGAAAGAAAACCGGTCGAATGCAAAAGTGTCAAGAATCTTTATGTACTATGAATAATTTCATTGACTTTATAGTCAACCTTATCATATATAATTGTAACAAGATCGATTTTTTTTTGCATTCACATGAAATTATTGTTCTATTTGATTATTTATAATTTTTTTCTTTTTATTTGCAAAATTTAAATGTTCAACTAAAAATAATTAGGAAGAATATATAGTACATATGTAATACGTATATATATATATATATATAGATATTAAATGCATATGCGTGCGCACGCACAACCACACTTTACATCATACAAGGTTATGACTCACTGAACTAATTATTAGACACCAATGATCTAAAAACAGAATAAATAAAATTGTCGTTCAATCATTAATTAATTTATTTGAAATATATAATTCTTTTTTTTTTTTTAAATTTTGTTAAGATTAACACTTAGAAATTTATCACAAACCTTGACATCTACATACATGACAACGAACTAGAAAATTTAGTACCGAGGTAACCCAGTTTTCAAATGCATTCAGAGCAATCAACTTCGATACAGGTGAATATATTATTACCACACGTGTCTCTAAGCACATGTGACTATGCTATCAAGATAAAATGAAGTATGAAATAGTAAAGTGAAGAATACATATAATGATTACAAAAAGTATTTACAATATTATTTTAATATAATTATATATAATTATTAATTTATTTTTAATAAGATTTTTTATCAAGATTAGTATTTCATTTTCATGATTTTTATTTTTATAAAAATATTAAATAACTAAATAATTCAAAATTTTGTACATTTGGATTTAATGAAATAAATATTACAATAAGTATAATATTGTGTAAATATTTTTTGAAATTATTGTATATACAATATTATTTATACATATTTTTCATAAAAAAGTAATATACATTTTCCATAATGATAAAAATTATTTATACTTTCAATATTTCAATATTTTCAACAATTTTATTTATCCATAACACAATATATATTTTGATCTCGCTATAAATTATCTTATTCTCGTTTATAATTTATCTATATGTATTTTTGATAGTGTCGTCTCGTCGTCTTTGGATCATAAATCTCGTTTACAATTGAATAAAACAGTGGAAAATGCAATTGTTTGTGATTAGATTGCGGATATTTATGTGTCATAAATTGATATTTTTCTAATGTAAAAAGAATAAAATTTTAATAGAAATTTGTTTCATTAATTAAATTAAATTATAATAAAATATTATATTTTATTTGAGATATTTTACTATATATTTTTGCACTTACAAATGTTTATAAATTCATCAATATTCATAATTTAATTAAATAAGTTTATTTGAATTAAAATTTTGTTCAATTATATTTTCATGAAGAAAAAATACAATATATAAAAATATAATATGATCGATTATATTAAAATTATGCGAAAATAAGAATTTCTAGATAATTTTATTGCTTATTGATTAAACCAATTCAAGAGTAAGAAATAAGATTTAAAGTATTATTAATTGATTTTCTTACTGCTATTAAGATTAAAAATCACTTTATTATCACTCATAAGTTAGAAATCAGTAATTTATTTATATTGTGATTATACTTATCACATCAAGATACCAATCACTATAAATAATTTGTAACATTTGCATCTTAAATTTATGAGATAATATTATGAAATAAAAATTGAGAAAAGAATTTTTAGTTTATATCGTGTTACACAATATAATAAAACGATATTTTTACATAATGAGAATGCCATCGAATAAGATAAACATCTTACACATCTTATTAATAGAAACACATTCAATAAAAATAAAAATGCTGAATAAAGCAAAGAAAAAATTATGCATTGTCATTGCTTGAGTCTTATTTTTGGATTTCTTTTTTTTAATGTTATTAATTTTAATTAATTAAACAAACTTGATAAATATAAATCTAAAAAATCTTCTCTCTAATTATATGATTTGAAACGATTCTATAAATCCAATTATATTGATTAGTTCCACTTAATACATTGTAAGCACCAATTACATTAATTACATCGAAATGAACAGTGAATAAAGTTCAGTGTACAAAAGTTTGATACCGAGATTTTGATTTGAGAAATGAATAACTACTGATGATATTACTGCAATTTACAAAAAAAATTACATATATCTATTACTCGCATATTATATGTATATTTTTGATGACGAACAACTAACATAACATAAATTATTACGAAAATTATCACTGTAATTTACTTTCAGATAACTTGTAAGAGTCAAATAACGGGTCAAGAACATAAATTTTATCTTATTATTTACATGCCTTATAGATACAAATCAAATAAAATTTTTCATGATTTTCCACATTACGTAATTTTCAACTCTGAATGTATCTTATATATATATATATATATATAGAATTAACCACTAATTAAATAATAGTATTAACCATAAAAATTAACCACAATAAACGAAAGGTTAATTCTGAAAGTTGAATGACCTAATTTTCCATGTAATGCGTACTCTCCTAATTGTCGCCTTAACAAGAATAGATTAGAGATTAATTAATTCCAACATGAATTACTAGAACTGTCGGTGCAATTAATATCAGTTCTGTTATCTTAATTTCACGTCATTTAATGATATTATATTATTAAAACGTTTCAATAATTAAAGGATCTTTAAAACAAAAAAAAAAAGAATAGAAAAAAAATATGTTCGATGGAGATACATTATCAAGCTAAATACAAAATAATTAAATAACTTTTTTTTATATTTTATCCACGAAATAAATAATTATAATTTCTATTTATTATGAAATTTTATTGATTACATTATGCTTATTCTAAATGATTAGATGCACAAACAATTTATCAATTCATATTTATTTTATTTTTTTTTTTCATCGAACTTCATCACTATACGTTACACTATAATAACAATTAAGCTGAATTATAATGTTATATAAGTTCAACATGAGTGAGTTTATTACACCTTCATATGCAATCTTTCGAATACCATGCAAATGAAATCAAATTGCTATGTGATTACAGAGAACTCAATCTTTCCAATACGAAACGTGTAATTATATATATTCAAAAGGAATTTTGCGATATCAATCCTTTCAATCATTCTTCCTTTCATATTCAAGAATAAAAAGGAATACTTACTGTTGGTATTAAATTATTTTATAACATTATATAAAAATAACATTCAAAATATAAAGTTAAGAAATTTAAAATATAATATTATACTAAAAAAATCGACATTTTCAATTTTAAATATATATTTGAACATTTTTTTTTACACCGAATGTCTCACTCGATTTTATAACCTCAAACCATAAAATCATTTAATATTCTTCGATTAAATAATTCGAGTCATTCTTCAGTTCTTCCAAAAAATGTTTTATTCATTCATCTTAGAATTCTAAACAAACGATTTCTGTTAAAAATTCAGGGTATTGTATTTTAATTAACACCTTTGTGACAGCGCTATTGACGATATATTGTCAACCTGGCGCCTCATAAGGCGTCTTGAACCCAGCCGCACAATTAACTTACGTTCGCTAGGCACACATGCTTTTTGCAACATCATGTTATTTTACTAATACATCATACTGTATCATTTTGCTTTATCTTGTTTTCTAAAAATCACCAGAAGAAATTTGTATATATTAAATTTTTTATTGCTATATAAAAAATATAAAAATCAATCTTATAAACATGCCCTATACGAGAAAATTAAAATTATATTATACATAGAAATATTATGAAACATTTCTAAATTTAAAATACACGAAATTGAAGCCAATATTTCAGGCATAAAATTATTTGCACGTAATGATTATGTACAATTTTTCGTATCGTGTAATATTAAATTATATATTTTTTAAAATTATATTTCAAATAAAGGAAATAAAAGAAATACAAAAATAATAAAACATAGTGAGTAAATAGTGACATAACTCGTGTAATAAAAGAATGCATATTACCGACGTGTAAATTGTCTCACAAGATAAATATGCGATTTACAAGTAATTTGACCAGATGTCATGAGTCGAAGTTGCTCTACCGGTTTCACGGTTATCTTGTATTAAACGATCGATGGCGAGTGAGATTTCAATTCATGCAACACTGATACTCAATATATATGTATATATATATATATATAGATATATATCATTCAAAGTCATTAATAAATGATACTACTATATTTACTTGAAATATTCCTTATTTTATCCTTGTACAAATATAATTAATATAATAATAAATATGAATTTAATATAAAATATTTTTTATATCGGATTCATTGTGAAAATTGTTCTTTTATAATCAAAAAGTCAATAAAAAAATTATTGCAGAAAATAACTCAGAAGAATTTAGGCGATCGTTTCTAACTATTTTTAGATTCGCTATGTGCATCTATGGATATTGTATCACAAATTGCCAACAGTTCTATATTTTTGAGGACAACGTCCGGAGTTACGTCAAGGATGATCGATGAATACATTGAATACCGTTCTCAATGAAACAATTTCCTATGGTTTCACTTACGAACATTGTTCTTCTGATGCATTTCACATGCAAATAAATAAATCGATGATATTGATGAATCTTTTCTTTTTTCTTTTTTTTTTTTAAACATTTATTTCAATTAAACATTTATTAAGATATTATTAAATTGAATTTAAATTTATTATTTATTTTATAATATATAATTTGTAAGTTACAATTAAAAAAGAAAAAAATCAAACACGAAGAGACAGCCTTTGTTTAAACTGTGTAAAAATATTTTTAGTATCATGAACAAACAAAGGATCTTTTATCCATTGACCTTTCAACCAAGATAATTATTATACAGATTTTAAATTTAACATTGTGCAATTGTAATACACTTGAATAAATACATTTTAATCAAATTAAGCGATCAACATAATTTTATTTATTTTAAAATAATAATTGTTGTAACTTTTCAAAATTATTTTATTATAAATAAAAAAAAACTATTTGCATTATATAATAGTAATAATATATATAGAGTACTTCAATCAATTATCACTCCACTTATTTAATCTTTTGATTATATTTTTATATTTATCATATATCTTATGATTCTGATATAATGGATGTACCAAAATATATCTTAGAGATTTTAGAAGTTCAAAAAAAAAGTTACAGAGGTTTCAGGGTTATAAAGGGTTTCAGAGGGTTCCAAAGGTTTCAGGGCAATCAAGGGTTCAATGAGAATCTAAAAATTTCATAGCAATCAGGGATTCAAGGAAGATCCAAAGGTTTCATAGCAATCAAGATTTCAAAGAGATCATAAAGATTTTAAAATAATCAGAAATTTAAACTTGTTTTCAAAGAATTTCAAGAAAAAATTCTGAAAAAAAAGCAAAAAGATTATAAATAAAGAATTATCCATTATATGAATTTTAAAACTCATTTAAAACTCATTATTAATTCTCTAAAAATTTTGAAATCTTTTAAAACTGTAATTATTTTTAAAAATTTTGAAATTTGAAATGAAATTCTCATAAAAATATTTTTTGATCAATATTTTCATTTCTATTTTTTTTTTATTATTTAATTATTGTTTTACGTGGACTTTTAAGATCATAACTATAATTATGTCGAATAGCATTTGCACATTTGTGTTAATTCTCTCCGTGTGCCATCCACATTTCTGCATTTCCGCGTACGTCATTAAAATCCCTAACCACAAGTCGCAAGGCCAAAGTATCTAAGATGACATTTTACGTAATACTTCGTCGTAGATCATTGACGAATCGATAAAAAATCTTTATGATAATTTCTCGTCTTTTTAATATTTAATCGTATAAAATTTATATAAGATTTTTTACATGATTTCTTTTCAAAAGAAACTTGAGATATTATGAAATATAAAATTTTCCATATTTTATTTGATCACAAAAAATTTGAAACAATATTTCGATATTTTGATTTTTGTATCAAAATTTTTTCTTAATAATAATTTTCAAAATGAAAGAGTTAAAAAAGTGAATGAAAAAACTGTAAATAAGTAAATTAAAATTTATTTAATATTAGAATTGGTTTATGAGCATATTTTTAAAGCAGCACGTGTATGATAATTCTCTAAACACGCTTCCGTTTGAACGATAATGAATCATACAAGTGACATTACATTAAGACTTTTTTTCCTTTTATGGGATATAATGTGTACATTTAAAATTTAAAAGAACTTAAAACAATTTATGCGTAATATATGGAAAAAAAAAAAAAAAAAAATCGTTAATTTTGTATCACATACTGTGTACAGAATATTTAATCTTTACAATTTTAATAATAATTTTCAAAATATTGATTATTATATTTTAATTATGGCGAAATATAATATATATATATATATATATATATATAAAAATTATGATAAAAAAAATCTCACATATGATTAGATTAAGATAATTAAACGGAATAAAAAAGTAAATATCATTTTATATCAAAAATTTTCTTTTATCAGATATTTAATTATTTTGATATCTATACATATTTTAAAAAATATTGATTTCCATCTTAATTACAATTTAATCTTAACTTTTAATTAATTTTTTTAATTCAATGAAATGAAAAAAGAGAAAATATATATTTTCTTGTTTTATATTATGCATCAGATATACGTACATGTAATTATTATTATCAGTAATCAAAATATAGTTGATAAGATATTATTTTATATATTTACACTCTTTAAAAAAAAGTTTTCATACAACAGAACAATATTAATTCATATTCTTTTATGATTTTTATCTAATATCTAGACGGATTGTCGATAATAATGTCTCAATGATGACTACTAGACTTTATTAATATAATAAAATGTATCACAATGAATCACGATTTTTATTTACTCAAAACAATTGTTTTAACAGTTTGGAATAATAAAATAAGTATAATAAAGCGGAATAGTTAATACGTGGGACAACTGTGATATTATTTTTCATAATTTTGCATGTAAATCAATGAATAATTAGTCTGTAAAATTTATGACAGTTATATTATTTTATTATTTTTTTTTTAATTACAAATTTGCGACAATTGCGATAAAACATTTAAATAAAATACCTATATTATTAAAATATAAATTGTTATTAATTTTTTAAAAACTTATTTTATAAAACAATTTTGAGTTCAAATTTTCAATTTTCTCTTTCATTTTTTTTTTATTTTTATATCATATATTAATATTATTTTATAATACATATCGTTTTCTTTGTTATAGATAACATATATTATTAGTTGAACAAAGAAATACGCACACACATCATGGTAAGTTTTTATGAAAATATAATTGTTTTATAATAATAATGCAAATAATTATTATTTACAATTATATAATATTTATTTATAGGACAATAAAGCGCCGACGGAGATGGACACCTTCTTACCCCAAGATGGGTCCAACGCGAAGGATGGTGTATTTAAGTAAGAATTTATCTCTATATTGATCAATTTAAAAAAATCTTAATAATAAAAATATTACGATGAAAGATGAAAATAACATTATTGAATCTATAATCAAATATATTAAATAAAGTAAAATTTATTCAATATCATAATTTTAATATACATGTTCCTTGCAGATATAAAGTGCAAGTCGCTCCACAAGATATGGAAACCGGACAGGGTGACGGAAAAAGCTTCGACCCTTTCAGTGAACGAAGAGTAGATAACCCAACGACGTAAGTCGCGATAATGCGGTTAAAAAAATATTTAATGCACTGATACCCTTAATTTTTACAATATATCACATTTATGTCGTATATATTTTATTACTCTATTTAACTGAAAGAAAATATCTAATATTATATTGTATTTCATTATATAAGTATAAATAATAATGATTTATTTTAAAATATCTAGTATATAATCAATAATAGAAAATAATTTTCAGGGATGGTGATACATTAACGCATTTATTGAAAGCAGCTCTTGGAACGGGTATATTATCCATGCCGATAGCTTTCAAAAATGCTGGACTTGTTGTCGGTATATTTGCCACAGTTTTAGTGGCGTTTGTATGCACACATTGCGCATATATTTTGGTAATTATATATCAAAATAATAACACAAATAATAAAAAAAGTAATTAATATTTTAGATAATATATAAATAAATGTAAAATTAATATTTTAGGTAAAATGTGCACATGTCCTTTATTATAAAACGAGGCGCACAGAAATGAGTTTTGCCGATGTAGCAGAAGTAGCGTTTGCTACAGGCCCACAATGGGGGAGGAAATTTTCAAAGCCTATTAGGTAAGATATTATAATAATAAGATAAAAATATATCTAAATTTATAAAATCATTTAAAAATCGTTTAAAAAATCACGGTTTTAATGATAAATAATTATATAATATATTATCTCTAGGTATTTAATACAGATTAGTTTATTTGCAACGTACTTTGGTACCTGCAGCGTGTACACAGTTATTGTTGCGGCAAATTTTAATCAAATCATTAAGTATTACAAAGAGGAAGGATCTGATGAATTCAGTCTTCGATTGATGGCAACTTGTTTATTAATTCCAATGATATTGCTTAGCTGGATACCAAATTTGAAATATCTTGCACCTGTTTCCATGGTGGCTAATATATTTATGGGAACAGGTTTAGGAATAACTTTTTATTATTTAGTTTGGGATATGCCGCCTATTACGTCTGTACCTTTATTTGCACCCATCGAGAATTTTCCACGATTCTTCAGTATAACTATATTTGCAATGGAAGCAATAGGTATTGCTCAACTTATTTAGAAAATTTTAAATAATATATATATTTTATATTTAAGAGAAAGTAATATTTATTATTATTTACTATTTTATATTTTAATACTTTAGGAGTTGTAATGCCACTGGAGAATAACATGAAAACACCTCAACATTTTGTCGGAATTTGTGGTGTTTTAAATAAGGGAATGTCCGGTGTTACGCTTATATACATTTTACTAGGATTTTTAGGATATGCAAAATATCAGGATGAAACCTTAGATAGTATTACATTAAATCTACCAACGGAAGAAATGTAAGAATTACAATAAATTTTTAAATAATGCAATTGTATAATTATATATTTTTTATATTTTTTGTTCTTTTTAGACCGGCTCAAGTTGTAAAGATTTTAATAGCTCTTGCTGTTTACTGCACATTTGGATTACAATTTTATGTTTGCCTTGACATTGCATGGAACGGTATAAAAGATCGATTCCAAAAAAAACCAATGTTGGCAAATTATATTTTAAGAACAGTTATGGTCACAGGAGCAGGTGAGTATTTTAATTGCTAATGTAATTTTCGTTATAAAGTGTATTATAAGTTCTCAAATATTATATCTGCAAAATTTAATAAATTATTATTTGTATGTTATAGTCTTATTGGCTGTTATTGTACCGACTATTGAACCTTTTATTGGATTAATCGGTGCATTTTGTTTTTCAATATTGGGACTTTTAATTCCTGTGTTTGTCGAAACTGTAACTTATTGGGACGTCGGTTTTGGACCAGGAAATTGGGTAGCATTGAAGAATGTGATTATTTGTATTATTGGCATTATGGCTTTAATATTTGGATCTCGTAGTGCATTGATACAAATCGCTAATTTATACAGTTAAGAAAATTTTTTTCACATATATATAGAGTTTTAGATATTGCTATATTCCAAATTTCGAAAGAGTTTGGAAACCATTTAAAAGATTTTAATGCAATAAATTTCTGATAATTTTATTATTTTGATAAAGACAATCACAAAAATCAAAATAGGATTAAAAATAATTATTTTATAAGATTAATATAATCAGAATTTTTATCAAATTTATATCAGAAATTTAGACGCAATGTATGCTTACAAGAAATGCTCTAGTAAGATAGAAAAATTCAACAGAACTTCGGTTGTTATACAAGTAAGAACTTAATTCTTGTAAGGATAATGAAATATAAAAACCGACATTCGGTGTAGTAGTAATACACGCGAACAACTTACAAAATAATAATAAATAATGTTAGAGAAGGTTATATGAAAAGATTTTAAACATTATCGAATGATCAATTAATTTCAAAATGTATCTAATAATTTACTTTGTTCCTAAAATATAATATATAGTATATTCCATTATATTTAATTCGCAAGTTTAGACTGAAAAAAATTGACAGTATTCGTAATATACATTGGAGCAATACGTTCTAATTAATTTATTTGATATTATTTATTTAATAAAATTAAAAATTTTAACTTTAATAATGATAAATTATGTTTGAAAACATTATATTATTTTAAATGCATAATTGTATCTTTTGAAATTTATTCCAAAAAAAAATTAAGTTTTATATTTGTCAAAAATATTAACTTTTCAAATTAACAAAAATTATTGATATATAAAAAACTTTTATATATTGTTCATCTTATAAATTAACAATTGAATCTCAAATATAACCTTCATTTTTTCTAAATTTAATAACATACATTATATGGTTTGTATTATATGATATATGTTGTTGTAATATTTAACATCTAAACAGGCCATTATATATTTCATACATGTGATTCACAATACAGAAAATGTTTCACTCTTCTGTGTTGCATTTAATATGAATGTATATTTAAAAAAAAGCATGTTTTTGAAGCAACTTTTATTGAACTTGTTATAAATCAATCGATTTTTTATACCATTGTTAAAAATTTTTACATATTTCTGGTAAAAAAAAATAATTACAATTTTTAAATACAAATCATTTTACAATAATATTTGTATATTTATTCCACTTTATCTATTCTTACATAATTTAAAAAATATATTTTTATATAATAATAATATCTTAATATTACATAAAATTCTACATTTTCATTTTTCTAATGGTGCATAATTCAGGAGTTTTTCAATTAAATCTACATGTCCAAGAAGCATTCTACGGCAGCAATATCGTTTCAATCCTAATGCATCAAGAGCATCACTGTAACAAAGATATATTATATAGTATATTTTAATAATTGTATATTGATAATTTTTGATAAATTATTATAACTTATTAACATATATGACAATATGATGAATATGGAAATATTCCTAAAAAATAGTAAAAAATTTATAATTTTTTATTTTATATACTATAATATTTTATAAATTCCACATAATTCAACTTATTTTTTCCATTAATGTAAATAATAACATATAAGTTATACTATTTATAGATATATTTCATTCAAATCATATTTTATTTGTTTTTTCAATTTAATATAAAATATATATATATATGTATGTATGTATACATACATATATATATATATAATTTATACTGTATTTGATTGTTGCATATCAAATGATTGATTCCACAAATACAATTCATAATTTACTAATTAAATGTTTATTATTAAATAATATTTATTGCATGTTAATTTAAAACTTGAAGATAACTAAATACAATTGAATAACATTTTATTTTGTTACAAAAAAATAAATTATATATTATAAATTTAACAGAAAATTGTTATAATAGAAGTGAAATAATTGTCTATATTAAAAGAATAAAATTACTATTGATATTAATAATTATCAAATATAAATATTAAAAATGAATCAAAAAGTTATTAATAACAATTAATTACAAATTTTAATTGTAATAATTAATTTGAATTTTCTTTTTAAGTAAATAAAATATATTAAATTAGTTGAATCAAATTTTGATTAATTATTTATTATTTTCAATAAAGTTATAAATCAATTGTTTTATTAAAAATTCGATCATTTCATTTGCAATAACCTAATACTTACCCTTCCGTATATTCTGCTTGTAATAAACCAAGATAAGCTTCCCATTTGTTACCAATTACTTTTCCACACGTAAAACAACGTACAGGTATAATCATTATTATAAAATATTTTATTAAATAGCTAAATTTTTTAGATTTAAATTGCAACGTTTATTAATAAACGCAAATCGCAATAATAATTAAATATGATAGAATTTGCACGTTCTCGAATTCTCGATGTTCCAAACTGCTATATACAATCAGACACTTGAAGTCTGTAATAATCAAAAATATTCTGATCAGGATTGCCAACATGATTACAGATACAAGAATGCAATTGAATGGATTAATCAGAAAGACTAGAATATCGAAAAAAGTTTCCTATAAATATTTGTACTATATTAATATTTATTATTAATTTAAAATAAAAAAAATATCGTAAAAGAATAAAATATAAAGAAAGATTATAAATACAAAAAATCTAATTATAGTATGCATTTTAAATATATAAAAATAATAAAACATACTTATAATTATTTCGTAATAGAAATAAAATTAACTCTGAAATTGTATTTGAAATTAACTTTTTAAAAAAATATATTTTTTTTATTTTTTTCATTGATTACAATATTGATTACAATATATATATATTATAATAGTCTAATATATATATATATTATTACAAATGAAATATTTTCTAAAATGTTGATTAATTATAATAGATTATGTATTAATATGAATATTCTAAATGCAGCGCAATAACATAACACTGTACACTTTACACGGTATTATATCAACTAAATCGTGACATGTTTTTGTTCCTTAATAATCGATTTTCCTTAATAATGTATTAGAAGAATTTAAATGTATCGAAAATATCATAAATAATTCATTCTCATTAGGAAATAGTAATACAAGATCCGAAAAATACAGTAATAATTCGAAATGCGATCATTCATAATGTGTTCGAAACGTAAATATACAGTTTTGCGACTCGCACGCCCGGAGACAAGCTGTGGCAGAGAGACAGCTGCTCCGATCGAAAGACGATGAACAGGAGAGGGGGGTGGGGAAGGAAGAGAGGGAGAAAGAGAAATACATATAGGCAGCCGAAGCAAAGGGAGAACACCATAAACATATTAGATCGGATTGGTGCTGCTTTCTCCTGTGTCTATTCAAGTCTACTGGATGGAAACATGTTATAATACGGTCAGACTGTTATCAAATCATCACTTTAATTGTTGTTTTTTATTACACGTGTTTATCGTGGTGCATCACAAACCGAAAAGATCGGAATTTTGGCGCCGTACCGACGCGACATCAGTGACAGTGTAAATGGTTATGTTAGCTGAGCGTACTGTTCGTACGCATTTTATCTAATATGTTCCCATAATTTATTGTTTTTGGTTCCTTTGTTGCACAATTATTCGAACTTTCTGTCGAAACTGTAATTACAGTGAATACCTCATATCAGCAATAACGTGGAGTCAAGGTTATATCCTGTGCGTCTTTTTCGCTGTATTGTCAAAATCAGCTGCCATTGCTATAGCGTGCGATTCTACTTGTTCATTTCGGTTTTCCTTTTTTTTTATAACTTGAGCTAGACTCATCATACTCGAAATTTCATTCAGAATTAACAATTTGTGTTATGTTTACTCTTTTGAACCATACGCGGCAAGTTGATGTTTCATTTATAACAAGCGGTATATTTTATCAAATTTATGCATGACTTTTTGAATGATTTTACGAATACAAACAAATACAAACAAAATTTAAAATAATATAAATAAAATTAATTAATTGTTATGTATTAAAAAACCAATTATATATTTTCTTTTTTCATATATTAGTTATTTGTTTAACAATATTATGTTTTCGAAAAAATTAAAATGATGTATATAAATATATAATAAAAATTATTATAAATAATATAATTATATGCAATATAGTAATGTTTTTAATTTTAAATTTTATTATACAATAATAAATGAATGAATTTTTTGGCAAAGCATATTTAATTATTTATATTTTATATATAATTTTATGAACATAATGTCATTTTATAGCTATTGTTACAAAATAATATTAAATAATAGTTATATGTAAAATTTAATTGCATGCTTATTTTTTATTTTTATTTATAAAATGTGTTACAGGCTTTGGAGATTGATATTGAATTATATATTTGTCTTAACAAAGAAATATAATTGAAATAAAGTACATTTGTTAATTCCCACTGAGAAAAATAGGAGGGAAGGGATTTTCTGCAGGAAGAAAAATACAGAAAATAGAAGTGAGGGTTAAGTGTTATAGTAAATGCAGTGGTTGAAGCAGAGATGGACCCATCAATGTTTGTTACATATACCCCTCAAACGAATGGAGTTCCATTGGAGTCCAAACTTGCTACCTACATGGTAATATTATTATTCATCTATAATTTATTTGAAGAAAAAAATCATATGTGTGTGTGTGTGTTATAAAGCAATGTATTTATATCTACTTATTTTATTATATATTTATTTATAGAATCGTCAAAGTCCTGGAGTAACTTTAAGTACTACCACTATTACCAAACATTTGTCAAATCTTTCTCTGGATTCACAGAAAAAGGTAACTGCCAGTCCAGAATTTGTACCAGGAAGAGGTCTTACTAATAGCAACAGTAGTTCTCCAAATCTTTTTAATAATTCTTATCATTCACAAGAAAATGTGGGTGGTACTACCTATTTTTATCTTGGAAATGCAGTGACAGATACTGGAACAGAAGATGGAACTGAAACTGTAAGCAAATTTAGAAGTTCAAATAAAATCTTTTTTATTCTTAATTAATGAATTAATGAATACTTTTATGAACAGATTGGAAATGTGGGGGCAGGTCAGATAGGCTATGTCTATCCGGGAACTCCCGCACATCTCCAACCAGTAAAACCTACAAAACCTCCATCATCTAATAGTTCTTCTGCTCCCTCAACCCCACCTCCTCAAGCAGCACTTAGTTTCTTTGTTAGTGAAAGTTTAAGAATGGACATTCTTCAAAAAAATGCTTTAACATTAGCACAACCTGATATAGTACGATTTCCCGATCTACCAAACGAAGTAGATAATTATCATGAGTTGTGCCCATTGGAACCAATTCATAAACCTGCATCAACAATTCTTGGGTATCAAACATCAACTTACAAAGCTACTAGCATTAAAAGTGGTACACGTTATTGTCTACGACGTATACACGGTAAATATTTCTATCTTGTTACAAACTTTACTTATAATATATAATATATAAATAAAAAATATGAATTTGGTATTGAAATAAGCATTTAATATGTTTTTAGATTTCAGACTTGCTAATACAAAATGTATGGTGCTGGTTGATATGTGGAAACGCTTATCACATACAAATTTGGTGCAATTAAGAGAAGTTTTTACTACCAAGGCTTTTGGTGATAATTGTTTGTATTATAATTTTCTATTTGTAATATATTAAAACAAAGTTGATAAATATGTTTCTGTAAAACAATTATATTTATTTTAGCTATGATATTTGTTTACGATTACCATCCCGGATCGGAAACATTATTAACCAAGCATTTCTCAGCAACCGAATTAAATGGTTATACAGATCCATTTTCCTCAGATCCAAATGCGCCTCGACCTTATAGTCACACTAAGAATACAATTTTGAGGCAACAGCATAGTAGTATGCTACCAGAAAGTGTTATATGGAGCTATATAATTCAACTCACTGCCGCTCTTCGTGTTATTCATGCTGCTGGTTTGTATTTATTAATAATATTATTATATATTTTGTTTCATTTTATAGATAATTATATAAAATTTATAATTATTTTATTATTTAGGGTTGGCATACAGATGTTTAGATCCTACAAAAGTGTTACTCACATCGCGAACGAGACTTCGTCTAAGTTGTGCAGCTATACCAGATGTTGTTACTTATGACGGAAGCTCATCAAATCCACTTTCGCTTATACCACACTACCAACAAGAAGATTTAATCGCTTTAGGAAAGTTGGTGTTGGCATTAGCATGTCGCAGTCTCCTTGCCGTCCATCGCGACAACATGCAAGCTTCTCTTGAACTCGTCGCACGTTCCTATTCTACGGATCTTCGAAATCTTATTCTGTTTGTATAAATCTTATTTCTATTGTATAAATCTATATCTATTATAATTTTATTTATTAACTTTTAAGATACAAAAACAATATTTCAAAATTTATATTAATTATAATTATAATTAATATAAATTTTGAAATATTTTTTATATAAAATCATTTTTGGTATAAAAGACTTTAGTTTTGACATTAATAAAATTTTAATAAAGTGACAAAATATAGAGTAATAAAATATAGAGTGACATATTGCATATATATATATATATATAACCGCATGTGCTTATATATAATTGTATATAATTTTATAGGTATTTACTGTCTAATCAAGCACGAAAAAGTGTAACAGATCTCATGCCAATGATTGGAGCACGATTTTATACACAATTAGACGCAGCTCAACTCCGATCCGATGTATTAGAAAACGAACTTGCCAAGGAGTTGGAAAATGGAAGATTATTTAAGTTACTTGTAAAATTGGCTACTATTAACGAAAGACCCGAGCTTAATATGGAACCTACTTGGGCAGAGACGGGTGATCGATATATGCTCAAATTGTTTAGGGATTATGTTTTCCATCAGGTAGCAGCTGATGGAAGGCCATGGTTAGATATGGCACATGTCGTATCTTGTTTAAACAAGTTGGACTCAGGTTCTCAGGATAAAGTATGCTTCTTTCGAAAATACTTTCTTTTTTTTTTTTTTTACAAACAATTTACAAATTCTTTATAAAAAATAAGATATTAAAAGAAATTTTAATTAAATTCCTCTAATATTATAAGATATTAAAATAATTAAAATGATAATTAAAATAATATTGTTATTTTTAAATATGTATTATAAATAATATTTTTTTTTTATAGATATGTTTGATGTCACGGGACGAACAGAGTGTATTAGTCGTAAGTTATGCAGAATTACGACAATGTTTGGAAACTTCATTTGGAGAGCTGGTACAATCTGCGAAAGAAACTGTTTAGGTCTGTGTTACATTTTTTTCTAAACTGACCAAACAGTACATACTCCGAACCATAAATGTGATATCACCATTTAGCGGTACTATCATTATAATCTTTATCAAGACATAGGAAAATGAAAATTGACCGATTTAAATTGGTGATAAAAAAAAATAGTACGTGAACCAGTATGTAAGCATGATTTCAAATGTTGAAATATTACATATGTGCAAAATACATTCTGGTACCGTCATTTGAATGTAATATATGTGTGCAAAAAAATCATGTGATGATGTAAATCAGAAAATGTTTGATTTTGCTGTGAAAACTGTTACGGTACTACACAAACAGACAAAAAATTGTACACAACTTAATAATGCAATGAATTCTTAAGAAATCTTAAGAAAAAACACCTAAACACAGTCAGTGTATAGGATAGATCTTAGTTTTTAGGATACAGCTGGTAAGCATTAATTTTGAAATAAATGTTTATTTTTGAAAGCAATCTTAATCAGATCTGTGTAATTATTTCAAAGTAATTATTTTAAAAATTCATTATACCTCCATATCGTAATATATTTTCATATATTAAATATTCTAAATTATAATATTAATAAAAAACGATGTACTTAGTATTCGTAAAAATCTGGTACTTCGTTTGTTCCAGTTTATCCAGCTGGTAATCTATAGATTCGGTTCTTGAACTGTCCTATCTCCATTCCCTGTCTCTTTCCTCTTCTCTTCGACTGCTGTAATCATTCAAACTTGATCTCATTTCCTTCGTACAATTGCACGACCACGAATAGACTTTTGCATGCATATATATTCTTTGAATTGTATCATGCACATGGTCGTCGCTAACAATTTATTTGTAAAATACAATTTTAAACTTATGCATATATTTTTGGATATTATATTCTTTGAGGTAATATTTACACATATTTTAAAAAACAATTTTATATATAATTTTTTTATAATGAAAAAATTATATGATTAAAATATGTATCATATTATTCCTCATTTCTAATGCTTCGCATCGACGCCCATGCATTTGTCCTACGTACGTCCTGTGGATCGAATAAGTGTTTAACATATACGTGCATGACTATGGAGTCGAAATAAAAGGCATATTAGACATCTGTTTCTCTCCAAGACATGTCAACCAACTGGACTGAACCCATCGTTCCTACCTAATTGTCTTAATGCCGATGTGATTTACTCCCTCGTACCGTGTCACTTCTGACAACCATTTCTCGTATACGTATCAACTGTATATACGTAGTATGATCTCGTGTAAGTCTTCATTTTATTCGATATCAACCTGCTAACCCAGAGACGTCATGTTAATACTTTGCAATATTTTTTTTATTATATTCAATGTATATATATAT